CAAATAGTCTAAATAAATGCTTTGTCCAAATAATACACAATATGCTGTATCACAAAAGTTGTTTTCTTTTAATTTTTCCTACCTTCGAGGCAGCAATATAAAGACACTTGTGCTAAGGTAGCACAGGGTGCAGTATATTTGCCATTTTGCTTGTGAAAAACTTAGGCATTTATATTTTAAGTTCTTTGGGAAAGGGTAGAATAGAAATCTAATAAATAAATTAAAAAATAAATATGCCAAATAGTATACTCATCTATGCTAACAAAGTTATAACCAATGCATTTTATGCTGATAATGCAGTAAAATAAATTTGGCTAATAAGTTGCCAACTATTCCATTTCCCCCATAGTCTTTCCATGACTTCAAATTTTCTGGAAATTGTACATCTCTAAATGAAAGTGTGACATATGGGTTTAGTCAAATACTGCCTTGGAATCAGAAGTGGGGATGGGCATGTACCAATTTATGAACTGGAATTCAGCCTGAACTGAGGCTGGTTCGGAATTCACGAACCGATGTTCAGAGAAGGCGCCTTCCCCCGAATATGTCCTGGTCTTCTGGCCCCCTTCAAAGGGGAGATATAAAGGGGGGTAAATGAAACTGACTGGTTTAATCGCTGCCAGCCATTTAAACATAGCAGCTGACTAGTGAACCCCTTCAGAGGGGGAAGCAAAACTGACCGGTTAAATGGCTGCTAGCCATTTAAACCTCTCTGTGGCCAGGAGAAAGATGGAAGGGAAGTCCCTTCCAGGGTGGTCCCGGCCCCCTTTCTCTGCTGCGGGGAGAAAGAGGGAAATGAACTTGCCAGACCAGCTCAGTTCAGGTGCAGCACTTTTGGGTTGGTTCAGTGGCCTCTCTAAACAGGCCAGTCTAAATACTTGAGCAAGACAAACTGTTACATTCAAGTTACCTCTAAAGACTTTTTAAATGGGAAACAATAGGCTAATATGGGTTTGCTTCTTGGCCTTTTGGCTAATATCTATTGTGTGGTGTGTATGAAATATCAATGTTTACAGTTAGAATACATGTCAAGTGTCTCCTAACTACTGCAGACTTCTATCATGAGAGCCATTAATTCCATGCCAAATGCTGTCAAGTTTTTTTTTTGGAGGGGGGGGGAGGTGTTAGTGTTAAACATTTCTTCCATTAACATCTCCAAATGTCTCTGATCAGCAGTAATATTCCAAAAGTACTAGAACCTGGCTGTTGCACTAAGCTAGAGTACTTTATCTCATTAACTGTACTACAAGCTCATAGGGATTTTACTACTGTACAGATTGCATCCTAGTACCTCTAGCACTTTCTTTCCTCCTATGGTCCTGAAATGTCAGATGACCACTTGTAACAAGTACATGATGGAAAAGGTGAGAAAGGAAGGTATGCCAATGATTGGTGTCTGACAGGCCACACAAGAACAGGCAAGGTTAGACCAAGGGCCTTTTCATACTAATGACCAGATCAGGTAATATCAGGAAATGTGCCACATTTAGAGTCTTCTTCATAACAAAGTGATCTTATGGATCAAATACTTCACTGAAGTATCACAGACAGGCTCCATGTACTCACCACAGACAAAATAGGTGAATTCAGTTCAATGGGCACTTAGATATATGGATGCACATATCTAGGTCACAGGGGTTTTTTGTGCTATTACTAAGATCAGATGATCTAACCAAAGTTGGCATTGATTATGTAAACAGCCTTTTCTGATGGCAAGACTTTTTTAACATTAACTCATCATTCTCTACACTATAATGATATACATTAATATTCTTCTTGGCACTAAACAGCTGGCCACTTATGGTCAAGAAGGGTCAGGGAGGGCAAATCCAAACCCATTAATTCCCAAAGGATCACTGACAGTGCACTCTGTGCAGTTACTCCAGTCAAAGGCCACTGACTGCAATGAGCTTACACTAAAATAATTCTGCACTGGATTGCTTTGAAAATCTAGCATCTTTATTGTTACCTGTAACACTAAGTCAGGAGGACACACTACAAAACAAATGTAAACAAGCAACAGACTTAAAAATTAGTTTCTTTCAACAGGTTTTTCAGATCTCAAACCTAGAAAAGCAATGAAATGACAGCTAAAACTATGAAGTGCAATGCACCGGAGCTACCAAAGTGTTCTAGATTTAGGCGTAAACATTACACATTATGAGCAGCTTCCCTTCAGTACAGAACCTCAGCTTGCTGTCTGTCAATGCTTTTAAAGCAGATAGGTTTTACAAGCTGCTCAGAATAACCCCACTCTGCACTTTGCTTCTCACCCAACACAACTGCACATGGCTTACACCATAATGATAAAACCAATGCAGTTTGTCAGTTAAGAGACTTCAAAGTGTTCAAAGTAGTTGCAGAAATGTTCCAGAGCAAACAAACTAGCAATACAACACTGTGTACATGTAAAATTACATTATACACATCAACAACTAGTGTACAATGTCTCAGTAAAATAACTTGCTTGCTCAACTGCAGTTCCTTGCTTTTATGGGTTTGAGTTTTGCTTTTGCCATTCAAGCTAACCACACTGGTGTTACTTTGTTCTCCAACCCTACTTGACTCCTCCTGCATATCTGGCCTTCATACCTGCAAAAGAAAATGTATGGTAAGACATTTGACCACACTCCTGAAGGTCATGAATAAAAACCCACCAGATCTTAGGGAGGTGGTCACTTCTAACTACTTATTATGAACAATTACTCAAATCTGTAACTGGGAAAAACTGGATAAAGGTGACTATTAACAAGCGAGTGCTATGTGGCAGGCTTGCTGTGGAGCACATATAGCTACTTCTGAGGTTGCCATCTATAGAAGGCAAGGCAAATTTCAACAGGCAGCAACATTCTATTAATCCCAGGAAACAGGTAGTAGAACCACCATGCCTCATAATGAAATGCCACAGGCAAAATCAAGCTTCCACGTGGATTCATAAGTCGTGGATGGTTTACAAACAGCCACTGTCCTTTATAGCCACTGAAGGAACAATAAAACAACAGCTGATATCTCGACTGTTTATTATTTATGTATCAGTAAACCTCATAATTAGCAGCAACCCCCCCCCCCATAAAATCTACTTCAATCATATAGCTGTTTTAATGTAAGGGCCAACATGCTGCAGTAGGCAGAGACAGATCTGCACAGAGAACAGGACCCAGGTTCAAATCCTTGGACAGCAATGGAGCATAGAGGATAACTAAGCAAGTCATACACCAAAATTTACCTTGTCTCACAATATTACTAAAAATTACACAGCCCTACCTCCCTACACTGAAAAACACATTACAAAGTAATGGTTCTCAATGCTAGATATGGAGATTTCCACAGGTAAGGGCAAACCTTTTATTTATTTATTTATTTTTATTTATTTTTTCACATTTATATCCCGCCCATCCCATACTTCTCTTTGCATGAGAAGTACAAGCTTCTTGCTACTCCTGGCCCCTCCACCCACAGCTATGTATCCTAGCCCCTGAGGGAACTGAAAGTGTTATAATTAACAAAGTAATTGTGTTCCTCAGGCCTACTCCTTTACTAAATGCCAAACATCCTTTAAGTATGCTGTGGGCCACTGAGGCTCTTCTGCCTTCCACAAGGGGCCACATTTATGCCCTAAGGCTTAAATTTTGAATGCAGGCCACTGTGGAATGTACTAAAAATGCCAGGAAGGACTTGCCCTATAAGAAAGAATAAAACAAGTACAAGCATTATGTCCTTTAAGACATAGCTCACTGATTGTGGCAGAACTCATAGAACATCTCCTATAGGGCCACAGGTGCCTCCTAAACCATATCCTTAAGGCAGAGCACATCTAAAGAACACTGTGCACTGAATCTGCTCTGCATACTACAATCTTCTGGCATTACAACACAGATTTATATTTGCTTTTCAATATCCTGGTTTTTTTTAATAGAGCTTGAGATTCACCAATGCATTGCCAGACTGAAAATAAGCCTTCTATGGATAGAGAAAGCCACACATTTTAAGCATATTGACTGTGTGTATAAGTCTACCCCAAGATCATATATTCAGATATAAATGTTTCCGTTGGGATTCCTTCATACAACTTTTTTTCAACAGGAAGATTAATATCTTCATTGGAAAAAGTATGTACTTCGTAATGTATGAGCGATGGAGTATTTTTCATTTTGGATGTTTACGCAGGAAAAGCAATATTGAAGGCAACTTCTCAACACGTGTACCTATGGCAAAAAGGCATTAATATATTATGAGCATGCTAACTTTTTTTGCTGTCAATTCCACATTTTTCTGACACAAAATCAGAAAACGGATTAGCCTAATAAGCAGCAGCCAAACATCCCCACTAACTGAAGCATTAAGATGAACTACAAGGAAGGATATGCCTATACCATCTTGCCTTCCCAATCTGTTGATCTAAAAAGTTGCATTTCTATGCAGCTACTGAAGAACTATGGTTCGGCTTTTTGGTACTGCTACCAATATGCAACAGTGGCATCAATTTTACGGTTTTAAAAGTTCAGACTCTATGCTACTCAGGTGGCGGCTGCCTCCTGGCATCGGCTCAGTCCACTCCCGCTGGAATGCTTTCCCTTCCCAGTCCCCCCCTCTTAACTTAAGGGAGATGAGGAACAAAAGAGAGGAAAGCACTACTGCAGTGGCAGCATTTAAGACTAGACAAGTTCGACGACAGATAATCCTCCTTTACTGCTTCTGTGGGTCGGAGCGACGAGGGGGCTGGGCTGAGCCACCACCTGAGCACGAGGCCGCTCGCGACAGAGCCCCATCGCCCCCCTGGCGGAGCCACCGAAGGCCTCGCCCACCTCCGTGAGCAGGAGACCACCCAGGACTGCGCCCCCAGAAGCCCCGTTTGGGAAAAGGAAACCCGAGAGTCCTACGGGCCGGGAGGAAGACAGGGAAAGAACACCGGAGAGGCTTCATTTGGCCTGGAGGGAATGGGGGAGGTCCGGCGGAGGACGGGGAAGAGGCGTGTAAGGCGCGGCTGGCCAGACTCTCACCTTTTGGAGAGATCCATGAGGACCCCGGAGAAGAGCTTCTCCCCGAAGCGGAAGGACACCACCAGCGCGTCCTCGATGATGTGATCCAGGGTGACCACCACCTCCGAGCCCGGCAGCAGCAGCAGCGCCTCCCCCGCCTCCCCCCTTTCTCCAACACGCGCCGCCGGTCCCACAGTCCCCGTGAACTCCGGCTGCTTCGCCCCGGCGGCAGCATCAGGCTCCTCCTCCTCCGGCCGGGGCGGCTCCTCCCCGGGCTCCGGCCCCGCGGGGCCCCCAGCTGCAGGCGGCGGCGGCGGCAACAGCGGCAAGCAAGGCTGCGACTTCTCCTCTTCACCCTCGTGGAGCTCGGAGAAGGCCGCCGTGAGCGGGCAGGGGGGCTCAGGCATCTCCGCGACGGGCTCCGGGCTGGGCTGGGCCTGCGGCAGGTCTTGGGTCCCCGCCGGGCTCCTGGGTGGCGGCGGCGGCTCCTCGGCCTCGCCACCCGGGGCTGGCTCCGGCTCTTCCCTGGCGTCGAGCACCGCTGACTCCACTGCAGCCAGAGTGCTGGCAGGGAGCGCTTCTGCGCCGGCCTCAGTGCCCGGAATGGGCTCGGCCTCGCCGGCTCCCCCATCACCCGGCACCGCCGCAGTCGCAGCTACGGCCGCCATTTTCTCTGCTGTTGCTTCCTCCTCCCTCTACCAGCAGCGGGATCGATAACCGCGGCCTTCTTCGCCCGCCTGGGAAGGGAAGGGACACCGCCTACCGAGGGGGGGGGGAGAAGGCAAGCACCTTGGCCGCTTCTAAGCTCCTACTGGACGGTGGGGAAATCAATCAAAGAACTGGGACACTTCCTATTGGCTAGGCGAGGAGACGTTGCTCCAGAGGGCAGGAAGTGGAAAACAGGGGCGGGGTTAGTGGTATCTGTGTCGGCAAAGATCAAAGGGGGCAGGTTAATAAGCACCTTTTGTTCCATTCGTGGAACAAAAGTAAGCCCGCCCTCCTTTCTTTTGCTGCTCATTGGCTCTGTCGGATGTCTATTGAAAAAGCAAAGAGAAGTGGAAGGTGTTGTCGTTTAAGTCTTACCAGGCTTCTTCCTCTGCTTTACGTTCTTCAAAGCTGTCTCCCGTTGAGTTTCCGGAATGGATTGAAGGATGGAGTCTTCTAACAATTATCCCAAATTTACTTGTGATACATATTTATGTTTTTATAAAAGCGAAAAGTAAGCGATAAAGGATAACTAGTGAACTCTCAATACGCGCGAAGATTAGTAAGACGGGACCCAGAGAAACCTTAAAGCCATGAAACTGCAGTTTGTATTATTGGTCGTGGGGTAGTAACAGTCATCAGCCCAACAAATGAACGGTGCTTTTAATGTCTTAATCACACTTTCGTTGGAAAGCGCAAAAGGCTGAAATACCAGTGTAAGTTAGCCAGTCTGCATGACATGCCAGTTAAGAAACCTAATACAATAGTATATAAAGGTTCTGTTTTTACACGTGTATCTACATCGACATAAGAGCTAAAAAAAGGCTTTTAAGTGGCACTGTAGACAATTGCCAGTTGGGAATCCCTGCCTTGCATATGATATAACTGGCTTCATGGAAAAGTGTAAGAGGGAATACAGTTGCAATTCTATGCTTGTTTAACTCATAGTTCAATTGACCTTAGTAGACTTATTCCTGAGTAAAACTGAGACTGCACAATTACAGTGAGAAAATCAAAGAATCCAGAATTAGAATAGCTGCAAGCTCTAAATGTGAAAAATGTGTAACTACATTACCTTTGATTTCCCTCCATTTTGTCTAACTTTTAACTCTGTTATAATGGACTGAAAAATCTGTCTTGTGCTTTCCTATACAGTGGATGATGTTAGATAATGTACATTTATTAAGGACTGGTGTCTTTGAAATTGTAACATTACAGATTGAATGGAATTTTAAGTATTTGATACTATTAGTAATTAAAAAAATAATTTGGCTTTGTGGGCCACATTTTCAAGCTTTTGTCAGATACTACAATGAGCAGGTAAAGTAAAGGTGGTTACAAGAAATGCTGGGCTTGATTAAATGAAGAGCTTACTGAGATACCTCTGTGTTTACACATCAGTTCCAGATCTCATACATAAGAACATAAAAAACGCCAATGTTGGATCAGGCCAAAGGCCCATCCAGTCCAACACTCTGTGTCACACAGTGGCCAGAAATACCAGTGCAGGAGGTCCACCAGTTGGGCCAGGACATTAGAAACCCCTCCCACTGTTGACCCCCCCCCCAAG